CACCTCTCACCTAAAGTGGACTGAGTATCTGAAAACTTAAGTGAAAACTTTCTCAGAACTATTTTGAAGCTAAAAAAATAATCTAGTTGTGAAGGAAGAGCTAGCTAAACTGTAGCTGGAGATCCGGATCAAGGCACGGTTCCTGGAATTTTATTCAGTTTCTTGAACAATGACATTGCGGGATATGCCTTGGCGGAGGTACGTGCTCTCTGAGGCTCTTCTAGGTTTGTGTTGTTCTTAGAGGATTGGTTTTTCACTCGTAAACTTAAATTAGCCCATCCATCAAAATAAAATCCAACAAAATGAGGCTACAGCACTTCTGTCTGAGATATTAAACCTTCTCTCTTCTCGTCTTTATGAGCTTCTCCATTGTTTTCACAGCAGAGCAGAAAAAAAAGAGACCGATCCACATGAAGTCACGGAGTCAGATCCACCCATGTGTGTTATTACTTCTGCCTGTTGTGTACAGTGAAGCAGCCCAGCCAACAGCCTGCCGCCTCTGATCTCCGTTATGGCGGTCTTGGAGGCCCGTAACCGCATCCTCGCCCCTCTGACGTCAAACCCCGACCGGTTGGTCCACCGTGACCGAACGCGGAGGGGACCGCAGACAAAACAGAGGCGAAAGAAGTCCCAGACCTCGATGTCTTTCACCATCTGTCCTCCTCCACCTCTGAGTCTGGACACAGGTCTCCCAGGGGAGCACAGCCGCCGATGCATTGAGCTCAAGGAGGGCTTGGCAGCCATCTTGTTTTTGCAGCCTCTCCATCTACTGGAGTTTAAACCACATGACCTCAGCTTATAGCTCCACTGAAAACGATAAAACCAGGACCAAAAATGGGCACCGTGGGGTTATAGCTGACGACAACTTAGGCAACATCCCAACAAAATAGCTCACCTCGTGTGAAAACATCCCCTGCATGTTGGTGATGATGAGCAGCAGGAGGAGAAAGATAACACAGTCCTCTTGGTGTCACCTGTAGACTCGTCTGTTTCCCATATTTGAGCTTTTCCATGCACAATAGAACAAGTATCATCCCATCACTGTTCATTACAATCCACCTACTCTTAACTTGTCACTGCAGCACTGGCGGGTTATAAATCAGTCACAGGATTCAGTGTCTAGTAAACACTGTGCATGTTTTTCCAGGTGTAAAAAAAAGGTTTTGTCTAATAAATCAAACCTACAACAACTTTTCTCAATCACACATTGATTAGATACTTAGATTAGTATTGGTCTTTCAGGACACATCACTCAGAATTCTGGAATTACATCTAGTCTAACTGAGTTTTTAACACAACAAACCAAATCACACACCTCCTTACCTTTAATCACTTTTTATACATGACACACTCATACGCGCTTATGAATGCATAGAAACACTTGAACGTACAGACCGAAGGAGCTAGATATTGTATTTATGTTGTATTTATCTGTGACACCTTAAAGGCCGGTCCGTGAAAATATTGTCGGGCATAAACCGGTCCGTGGCGCAAAAAAGGTTGGGGACCGCTGTTTTAATGTATATAGAAGAGACTGAAGTTTATATGTTATGGAGTTATTTATAGGACTTGTTACAAATCTTCATATGTCTATGATGTGTTATATCAGCCCGTTCTCACTCCCGAGGCGTAACATGTCGACGTTTTGTCACGTCCCGCGGCGTTCCTGAGGAACGTGAAAGGAGACCTTCGGCGTTCTTATGGTACGCGGCGGGCTATGGCTGGAATCCAGTTCAATGACGCTCCCGCGGTAATAGACGTTCCAGCCCTGTATTCCAGCCCTAAACCTAACCTTATCCCTAGCCCTGACCATAACCTTATTCCTGACCTTAACCAGGACTTTAATGATGTTAAATAGCGTGTTTCTAAGCGATTTGAAGAAAAAGAGCAAACATGTGTAGATTCAGTCCAGACAGTTCTCATATTTCCTCTTTTTTCCGAGGTCGTCATTCAGGAACGTGGTGGGTAGCCGAAAACGTAATATGGTGACGATTTGTCACCTAGCGTAAAATGTTACGCTTTGGGAGTGAGAACGTGTTGGTTATATTGTAGTGGTTTTCTTATGGGGAGGGTTTTGTTTCCCTTTGGTTTGCTGACCCCCAGACTTGGTCTATTCCAGATGCTCACCTGAATCAGGTAGAGTATAACAGGAAGCCATTTGCTTTTCAGAAGGGTTGGATTCTTTGCTGTATCACCATGTGTTCTCATTAATAAAGTACATTTTACTCCAGTCTCGTGCTATTTTAGTGGAAGTGACCCATGACCGTCGGCCAAAACTGACAATATGACTATTAAAAGTCTGAGTAATACTGTAATTTTCTGCTGCTCATTCCTGTGCAATATCCCATCTGACCTCCCGTCATATTTCTTTTCAAGATTTTCTTATTTAATCACTAGTGTACATATATTTATAGATACATATATATATATATATATTTTTAGTCATCTTTTCTCTTTTACCACGTCTCTCTAATATTTTGCTCTTTACTATTTTTCTATTTTTTATTTTATTTTATTATATTTTATTATATTTTCTTCTACTGTACCATGCTGCTGAGTGACTGCTGCTCGTCAAACACATTTCATTGCAATGTGCTAACTTGCATATGACAAAATAAAACTGAAAACTGATAAAACTGAAAACAGTAAAGGCAAAGGGAACACATCAAGTAAGGATTTCACACTCCCACTCACAACGGCACTTTCAAAGCATAAAGCCAAATATTTCAAAATTTCATTTTGAAGCATTTTAAAAATGAATGTGTTTGAGTTTCATTGCTCCAAAGTAATGTTTTCATATAAGCAAGATAACCAGTTTGCAACCATGTAAGTACAGTCCTCTATTGTGAACAGATGTGTTGGCAATCTGTCTGCGTTTATAAATTAGACAACAGTTATTTGCAGATCTTCATCAATCTGCCTGAGAGTGATTGCAGTCGGTCTGAGTTGGACTGCAACTGTTTTGAGTCAGGTTGCCTCCAAGGAGGCAGTTTATTATTTTCCTTTCCTAGTTGGACAGATGGCTGTTGTTTTGTTTTTACTGTAGTGTGCTGGGCCATTAATGGCTCAGGGGCTGCAGCGTATCCGCGCCAACACCTAAGGCCAACGTGGAATCACCGGTCAGACTAACATAAAGAAAGAATCTGTTAAATTACACATTTGTATTCATTAAGTCACAGACAATGAAAACAAGCAGAAATCAAGATGTAATATTTTTATAATTTTATTGATGTTAAATTAAAGTCCCAGCTTAGTTATGTTATCAGTGCAAGTCACTTCAATCTGTATAGCACCAAAGGAAACAATGGTGTTTTCAAGGTGCTTCACACTGTAAGGTAACAACTTACAGTATTAAAAAGAAAACCCCAAAAGAACAAACCCCTCTGAGCAAGCACGAGGCGACAGTGGGAAGGAAAAACTCCCTTTTAAGAGGAAGAAACCTTCGACAGAACCAGGCTCAGGGCGGGGTGGCCATCTGCCGCGACCATTCCTGGGGATTTCAAAAATGACTTGATCTGATCTAAATGTAAAACTAGCTCATTTAAAGTGTCCAGTGAGTTTTAGAAAATATTTTGCTGTTGATATCACGATGTCACTATAAAGTGGAAACTTTGTTTCTTCCCTTACACCTCCCAAAAAATGCCCGCACCGATGAGAAGCACTTAGATATGCAACTTGGTTCTGTGAATATCTTTCTTTTGAAAGTTTTAACAATATCTTCATCAAGATCTTGGAAGTTTAATTGCCAGAATGTCACCAAAGATGCATGCTTCCATCTTTTACAGAGGGATTTGAAAACCCTCTCGCTGAGTTTCTTGAACTTCTCTGGTGGGATTTTGTCGTATCTGGCCCTGATTTCAGTCCAGATTTTCATGGTAAGCCGGTTGGAGATAGCTTCAGCACTTTCAATGCTGAAGACTGTGCCTGATTTTTTTGAAACCTGGGAAATCAGTCCTTCCACAAAGATTTCCACTGAAAGTCTGCATCTTTCTTTCTTTTCATATGATTCCAGTCTATCAGTAACTGTTACTGCCAACAGGTGTTCTTGGAATACTGAAGTAGTTATGATATTAAATATTGGTTGTTCCATTAAATTCATTGAATCCTCCTCCCCACTCCTCCCCATTTTCAATGATATTAGTGACAATTTATGTAATTTGTCACAAATATCAGTGAAAATCGCATTAGCAATGCAGTCAAAATAATTCTGCACTTTTCGGTCTAAATGCAAATCCATCCCCTTGAATTTGTCCAAGAGTAGATCCAACAAACGTTTTTGGTGAGAATGAGGGCACTTTAAAAGTTTACCAAGCTTTGAAAGCACAGCCTGAATTAATGTCTCTAACCATCTTTCAAAGTCTGTTTTTTCAGGTGGCTCACAGTCTACAGAAGATCTGTGATGCTGTATCTTTTTATATGACTCCGTTTGACTTACGTTTGTTAACGGTGGGATGCTGGCTTCATGTTCAACACAGGATTTCTGCTGCTGGGGATCTGGAATTGGATTGTTTTCTGGTTTTGCAGCACTGTGTTGGTCAGCATTTTGACAGCTTTCTTCTGTGTTAGCTGTTTCTTGGCTGTTAGCATCTATATTCTGTGCTGTATCAAACTCCTGCTCAGCAGAATCGTCCAAAAATTTCACACGTGACAAAACCGTTTTGCCAGTAGTGGTGTGGACAGAACAGTTTTCATGTACAGGGGAGTTCTGGGAAGACCTCAGTGGTGATACTGCTACTGACTGTGCACACAGGTCCATTACGTCCTCTACAAAACCTACAAGCCGCTTAGCAGTGAAGCAATCCGGATAGCCTGAGATAAGCTCTCCCCACTGCTTGATCGAAAAACTACTGAACAAGTTATTCAAGAGGGATACCAAAGCATGTACTGTAGAATTATCCCCATTGGTCTGAACTGTTTCATCATTTGTCATTGTGTTACAGTTCGAGCTTGCCATTTCACTTTTTGTTTTTTATGTCTAAAATGTTGTTTTGTGTTAAACTCCGTGTTTGAACGTTTAAAGCGCTGCTGTCCCGCTGTGTGAATGCGTTTCAACTGAACAGCCAGGTCTATATATAAGGTCGGTTTAAGGTTTCTTTGTAACGTCACCTGACGTTTCTTTGTAACGTCACCAGTCAAAGGACTGGCCCGCCCCGTCATAACGAAAGGGGCGGGACAAATCTGTTGCTTAGCAACTGAAAAAAAGGCACACCGCGCTGAATGCTACATCCGGCCTGCGACGGTACACCGCCTCCGCACCACCGTTTAAACATGAAGTGTGGATGTTAGAAGATCCCAAATATGGTGAGCTACTGGGAAATTACTCACGTTTTTGTTCTTGAGAGTGAGCGATAATAAGCGACATTTTATTGAGAAATTACAGTAGTCTGTCTACAAAAACTACAAAAATGACCTAAATAAGACAGAAGTACACATTCATTTTTATCGTTTTGTCAACAACAGGGCGCATGAGGTTTGTTCAGTATTTGTTGTGTCTACAAGGCTCAGGCGCCCCCATGAAGTGTCTTATTTGTATAGTTGAAAGCATTATAAAGGAACGCAAAACTAAATTACATATAATTATAATTCTTGGCACTTTCTGGTGTGTGTGAGTTAGTGTTTCTCTTTTATGATTTGTGGGTCCAGCATCAAATTCAGAATCCTTCCCATCACACATGAGGTCTTGAATAATCATCTTATTTTAAAGACCTCGTAGTTTGATAGTTTGCTCTCAGACTGTGGGCTTCCTTGTGGTTTTTAGGATATTTAGAAGTAGAAGGGGATCATCCTTCTGTGGAACCAGCTCCCAGTTTGAATGCAGGAGACGGACACTATCTCTACTTTTAAGATTAAGTTTCAAAGTTACCTTTTTGCCAACGCATATAGCTAGGGCTGAATCAGGTGACCATGAATCCTCCCTTAGTTACCCTGGGACTACCCTGCTGGGGGATTCCCACCATGTGTTTATACACCTCTCTGCATTCAATAATTAGTTCTTGTTCATCTCTGGCTCTCGTCCACAGTGTGTCTTTTGTCCCCTTTTTCGTCTCCTCATCCCCAAAGGGTCGCAGCGGGCCGCCCCTCCCTGACCGTGGTTCTGCCAGAGGGTGCTTCCTGTTAAAAGTGAGTTGTTCCTTCCCACTGTATTGAGGTTTTTTCTTTTTAATTGTAGACTTTCTACCTTACAATCTATACCACCTCGAGGAGACTGTTGTTGTGATTCAGCTCTGCATAAATACAATTAAATCGAATTAAGTGGGTTCAGCTGTTTTGTGAAATAAATGTGAGTGACATGGTAAGTAATAGCCTGCATGTAACTCATGGTAAGAAGAGCAATATCGCCCCTCCTGGTTCAACCTTTTTTCTTTGCAGTAATCTTTCCAATAATAATACATATGCACTAACCTCATGCTTGCTGTTAACAATAGCCTAAAGACACAAAATCAAGTTTAGTTTTTTCCTTAAGTTTATGTTTTTTTTTATATGGTTGGCATTTATTTTGTTTCTTTTTAATAATTATATTGATTCTATTGATTGTTTGCCAAGCACTGAGGTCTCTGCTTAGACTGTGCTACTGGGATCACTGATTTAAAAATGAGGCAAAAGCACCAAAGTTGTGCTCAAAAATAGTACAGTGAGCTACAAGCTGTTGCTGTAGTAATTCTAACACACTTATTGTTTTTAAATACATACATGTTTAGTTCTTTTAAACCTAATTATTATTATTTTTTTTGCAAAAGTGTCACCTAAACACCCAAATATACGTAATTCAAAACTTACTTTAATTATTACCCATTTGGCTGGTAACATGGACCCAGTCTGATGGATAGTTACTGAACAGATAGTCTTTTCTTTAAAGGCTGCATTCAGAGCAAATCATTGTAAAAACAAGACAAGTCAATAAAAAACAAGTAATAACTATAATACTAAACTACAATAGAGAGAAAATCCAGTAAATATAATTATATTATGTAAAAAATATACAAATATTTACCTCTAATTTAAAAAGACATTACAAGGGTACTAGTTTCATTTTAATCTCAACATAATCTAAATTGACACTAAATCAGTTTAAATCAATCAATCAATCAATCAAAATTTATTTATATAGCACATTTTTAAGACCGAAGTACACCAAAGTGCTTTCCATTAAAATCGCAGTACAAATAAAATCACAATAAAATATAAATTACAAATATATAAAATATAAGATAATTACATAATCTAAATACAGAGCCAGATGTAAAATACCCTAATTTGCCTTAAATGCTAGATCAAACAAATACGTTTTTAAACGTGATTTAAAAGACTGAATGGAATCTGACGCGCGAATATGAAGAGGGAGAGTATTCCATAGCCTGGGTGCAGCAACGGCAAAGGCACGGTCTCCTCTGGTCTTCAGCCGAGACCTAGGTTGCACCAAGAGCAGTTGGCCCGATGATCTTAGTGCTCTCTGAGGGCTGTACAGACAGAGGAGATCAGCTAAGTAGTCAGGTGCCATATTGTTCAGAATTTTATAAGTAAACAATAGAATTTTAAAATCAATTCGATATCTGATAGGAAGCCAGTGTAAATTTTTCAGAACAGGGGTGATAGAGTCAAACTTTCTAGTGCCGGTCAAGAGACGTGCTGCGGCATTCTGGACCAGCTGCAGACGCTGCAGAAGGGAAGATTGTAGACCCAAGTAGAGAGAATTACAATAGTCCAGTCTTGACATAATGAAAGCATGAATGAGTTTCTCCATATCTTTGTGTGGTATGTAGGGTTTAGCCTTAGAGATTAGGCGTAGTTGATGGAAGCTAGTTTTTACCACAGTAGAGACCTGTTTGTCAAGTTTGAAGGAGCTATCCATGAAAACTCCAAGATTCCTGGCAGTATCAGTAAGGTGGTTAGCAACAGGCCCAAATGTGTCAGTCAATTGTCCCAGAGGCATATTTTGGTCAAAAACAATAATTTCTGTCTTCTTTCCATTTAAAGTAAGAAAGTTACGTGATAACCAGTCCTTGACATCACTCAGACAATCAAACAGAGGATGTGGTGAGGATAAAGCATCCCCAGTCAGGTGAAGGTAGATTTGAATATCATCAGCGTAACAGTGAAAAGAGACATTGTGTTTTTCAAAAATGGAGCTCAAGGGCAACATATACAGAGAAAACAACACAGGACCCAGTACCGAGCCCTGGGGCACACCACAGCGGAAACAGGCAGAAGAAGAGGAATATTTTCCCATCGAGACGGAGAACGACCTCTCAGAAAAATATGATTTAAACCAAGATAAAACATTTCCTTTGAGGCCTACTACATGTTCCAGTCTTGCCAAGAGGATATCATGATCAACCGTATCAAAGGCTGAGGTCAAATCCAATAGTACTAAGACCGCAGAGCGCCCAGAGTCAGCAATTAAGAGAAGGTCATTAAAGACTCTTAGTAGGGCAGTTTCGGTGCTGTGACGCGGTCTAAATCCAGACTGAAATTTATCACTTATACCGTTGCTCTCTAAATAAGTCTGTAGTTGCCGAAGCACTATTTTCTCTAAGACTTTTGACATAAAAGGAAGTTTAGAAATCGGCCTGTAATTAGCTAGAATGTTACGATCAAGGGAACTTTTCTTGATGACAGGTTGCACGACTGCATGTTTAAAGACAGTCGGAACATAGCCAGATGACAGTGAGAAGTTCATTAGAAATAAAATACAAGACCCGATTGTATTCAATGCATCCTTAATGATACGAGAGGGAATAATGTCGTGCAAAGAATTTGAGCTTCTCAGATTATTAATTATTTCCTTTAAAGTCAAAAATGACACAGGTTCGAACTGTTGGAAAACCGTTGAACATTCAGAAGCTGGGGCTTGATTTACTACCAAAGAATGTGTGGCCCTTAACAATGAGATTTTATCTATAAAATAATTTAGAAATTTTTCGCAGAGGGCCGGGGAGGCACCCATTGAAACATCCGAACAGGGATTAACCACTGAATTAAAAATTTTAAACAGGACTCGAGGATTATGGCTGTTATTCGCAATAATGTTAGATAAAAAAGAAGTTTTTGCCATTTTGGCAGCCTTCTGGAATTTAGACCGGCTCATATGCAGGATGTCAAGGGACACCTGAAGTTGATCTTTTTTCCATCTTCTCTCAGCTCGACGACATTCACGTCTAAGAGCGAGGATGGATTCATTTAGCCAAGGTTGGCATGAGGTTTTACGGCGTCGAATCTTTACTGGAGCCACAGTATCCAAAATAGAAGTACATATAGAGATGAAAGAGTTAACTATGTCATCAACTGGGAGAGGTGCATTACTGATATCTTCATAACAAAAAGAATTGGCAAAGGCCGCAGAAAAAAGAGCAACAGCCTCAGAATTAATCGGACGTGATAGGCTCGGTGGACCCTCAGAGTTCAGTTCCATATTGCATGACTGAACATCAAACATAACTGGGAAATGATCCGAAATCCCAGCATCATTGATGTCTGTGATGCAAATGTCCAGTCCATACGACAATACCAAGTCCAGCATATGCCCTTTAATGTGGGTTGATTTCCTCACCCACTGAGTAATATTAAAAGAGTCAATAAGGGCAAGAAAGTCCTTAGCCAATAGGTCCTCCTCGCAGCATATATGAATATTAAAATCACCACAAATAAGTACACGATCATAACTTAAGAAAATAATTCCTAGAAGATCAGCAAATTCACAGATAAAATCCTTGTTGCGCTTCGGAGGTCGATACACCACCGCACAGAGGGTCCGGGGGGAACCGGACAACTCCAGTAGTTGTACTTCAAAGCTGGAGTGCAAGGCGGGAGGCAGTTGCCGCACTCGGAATTTACTTCTAAAAACCGAGGCTAGCCCTCCACCCCTGCCCGTGGTCCTAGGAGAATTAAAGAAAGCACAGTCCGGTGGAAGAAGTTCCGAAAAGGAAGAGGACTCACCAGGGCGAATCCAGGTCTCTGTTAGAAACAGGACATCCAGCCTTGATGCAAGAAAAAAGTCGTTTACAACGAAGGACTTGTTCACCAGTGACCTAGTGTTTAGCAGTGCCATACGGAGCGTAGCCTCGTTGACACTACTGGGAGCACGTCCCAGCCGGCGAAGATTACTGTAATCCACACCTCCAGAGGCCCGCTTCCAGCTCCATACAGGTGGACACTCAGCTGGTAGAACCGGATGGGCTTGCTGGCCAGCATAGCGAATCCATCGATGACGACTCAGTCTGAAGGTATGCTGGGAGGGCCGCAGGTTGTCAATAATGGAGCGGTAGCCAATCACTCCATGTGCTTTTAGGTACGCTTTAATACGAACGCGAAAACCACTCCGCTTACCCCGTTTCCTATATCGTTTCTTGTGCGGTGTAAAAAGAGGCAGGTAATCCGTGCAGGCGGAAGTACGTGGTCGAGGCTGGGAAAAATTCCCTAAGTTCCAATATAGCTCCGGCTTTTGGTGATTCAAGGGTCGAAGATTTAAAAGAGTTTGTCGATCATAGGCAATCAGGGCAGTAACATCCGGAAAGCATATAGAAAATAATAAAACAAAGAGAAAACAACACTCAGGAAGACCGACCCAAAGACGGCTTGCCGTGCACACTGGCGCCATCTTGGAAGGATTACAGCTGAAGGTGATTTTAATAAATGTACTGCTGCTTGACTTTGTTTTACTACTGCAGTATAATTTATCATGTACAAAAGCTCCAAATGTTGTTTCTCTGACTTAATGTTCTGATGACGTTTGTGTTACTTTGCAGGAAATAGTCAGGACCCAGATGAACCTGTGCTGGAATTCAGTGTGGGTGAGTAATATGAGCATTTATGAAGGCTGTCCATGACCTGTAATTAAATTTAGCGTCATTAGTGCCACTCATTGCAAGTGACAGTGCACATGCTTTCAGCATGGAGTCTGCTCTTATGGTAGCAAAATAAATTCAGAAAATCTCCATCAAAAAGCAGCTCAGCAGCAGAAATATATATGGTCAGCTGGTTGTGAGTTAATGAGCATGTGAAATCAGTGTGAACATTTTGAAACAACAACTCTCCAACCTCGTAATTGTAAGACTGCCTGTGCAGCCACAGGAGCCTTCAGAGAGTCTTCCTGCTTGTCTCTTGGGTTGATTTGCTCGTGTTTTCTCACCCAGTCAATGACTGTAAAAGGGCTGGACTAATTGGAGGCAGGTGTAATTGATTGCACTGATATGCTAGTCTACTTATAGCCCACATTACAAACACTGCTGTGTTATTTTGTCTCTCAGTGCAGGTATGTAATGTGACAAAACCTCTAATGATCTGATATGTTTGGGATGGATGGGCTGTGAATTATATAGTGAATTGTCTTATTTTGTCGCTCTGTGCAGGCTTTCTACTTACAGGGTGGTGGGTCTCAGAGGACAATTGCTACCCCTGTTGAAGTGAACAACGTGTGGAGTGCAACTGGCTTTGTGGCATAGCTGGCTCTGGCCTTGGACTGTGTGTTTTTACTTTGTACCTAAATGGGACACTGGACTTCTAACTACTATTCATTGTGTTTATAAATAAAATTTTAGAATTTTATTGACTGTCATCTTTTTGCCCACGGTTGGTCAGACCTAGAATCTCTTTGTGTGTGTGTGTGTGTGTGTGTGTGTGTAACATCAACAGGGTTTTGCATAAAAGAGTGTGAGCAGGTCAAAAGGTCAATTCATTTATTGTAGTTTTATGGCAGCACCCTCTAGTGGCCTTGAAGCAAACAGTCTCCTAACTAAGCCATGGCATCTCTGGTCTCTCCTACTGTGTGCTCTGCTGGAGGAGCAGCATTGGATCTAGTGATACTGAGTAAGCTGATTAGGACAGGCCTGGAGAAATGTGGTTTGCATAAAGTATCAGGAAAAAAACAACCTTGTATTGTAAAATAATAATACACGAATAATAAATACTTTTCATGACATTCAGATTTCTGGACTCACGAGTTCATAGAACATTAATGTTACGAAACATTGAGAAGTCTTAAAACTACATTGTATACTTATTATTTATTTACTTTAATCAGATTTGACTGGTATTTTTAAACATTAAGTTTTTGTTCCTTCAACTATTGTATTTAAGCTTATGACTCACTCACAGTATGTTTATATAACTGCCTAAAAAACGGTGAGGATGTGGCCGCAGTGGCTGAGAAGCAAGAACTTTGCTTTGTCTTTTTTTTTTTTTAATTGGGAAGCATAAATGAACATACCAGAAAACCCTGCACGAAGGAGCCATATTTGTTTTTTGTGTGTGCATAAGCTGAAGCTTTAGTATTATTACACATATAAGGATGTTAGCATGCAACACACAAACTCAAGTGGTGTTGCCAAGATAGTTGCTGACTGGCAAGAAACTTCTAGAAGAAATCTGGTGACAGTCCAAAGCACAAATGAACATGTTTAATACTCGTGCAAGACCCTGTGGGAAGGTGCCAGATTGCTGTATTTTGTGTGAATCAGGAAAAGTGCACGGTGATGACTAAAGCTTATAAAACATCTCTCTCCTTATGTGTGCATATATGAGAAAGAAAATTCTGCCAAAGCAACTTTAGCTTCTTGCAAGCATCAGTACACAAAGGATGCTAACACAAAGCTAGCCAAGAACCAAGAGTGATTTTAAAGTTGAACGTATGCCGACCCCAGCAGCCAAAGGGAGCTCCGGGGAGAGCTTCTTGGGGTCCAGTGATGTGTCCTGAAGAGACGACATGAGCTCTCCCTCCTGTAGGCCCACCCCAGCAGTAGGTGCTGTCTGTCTCATTCCGAGTTAACTGCTACTCCTCTACATCTAAACGAGCCAGTTGAGGAGGTTCAGGCATCTGACAAGGGTGCCTCTTGAACGCCTCCTGGGTGAGATGTTCCAGGCATGTCCCACCAGGACAGACAGGACACACCCAGGACATGTTGGGGAGATCACAGCACTCAGCAGAGAATGCCTCAGTGTCCCCCAAATAATGGAGGAGCTGGCTCGGGGGAGAGTAAGGTCTGGGTCTTCTCTGCTTATGCTACTGCCACCGAAACTGGACACCAGATAAGCTCAGAAAAATGAACAACCTGTTTAAATAAAGGTTAATTTAAAAAAAATGTTTGTCATTAGCTAGTCTGTGTACATGTACTTCTTCTCCAGTGTTGAAAATGTTAAACTCACAACCTGCACATTTTCTGGTTGCATCATCAAATAAATACCCCCAAAAGTAGTCTGAGTACTTTTACACTGGTTTTATGCTGCGATATTTTCAAAGTCTTTCACTGAACACATTCAGTCACACATTGTTCATAATTTATTGGAAGTTTATTGTTTAATGTCCTGTCTAAATAACTTCAGTCACCATTTGTATTCATTAATGAATAACTGACTTCTAATATTAAAAGAAATAGAAACTGTTGTGCTGTTGTTCACGTAGAAGGGCCTGCTGCTGGATGTCCAGACTTTGTGCGTCAGCAGGAGGGTCAGGGTACAGGGTTCGAACCTCCTCATGAGATGTCGTATCTGCTGGATAAAAGCAAGCTACATCACATCTGGGATTGTCCTAGAGCTGCCCTACAGTAACAATCAACTGACTAATATATGAAATACTTGCAGTAGCACAATAATAAACACAAAGCAAAAAAGTGTTTAGTGAAGATAAAAAACCCCATCAAAGTTTTAGTTTGGATAAAGGGAGACAGAGCACCAATCTAAACAAGTCTAAACCATCTGGCACCTCCACACTTGTAAGAACAGCATGACCAAAGTGATTGTAGGAGGAAACAACCTTGACTTCCTTTACATAGCTTAGTACTGAGAATAAAAGAAAAGCATGATTAGAATTATTTGTGCTTCTTCTTCTTTCGGCTGCTCCCTTTAGAGGTCGCTACAGTGGATCATCCGCCTCCATCTCTCTATTTCTAGCATCCTCCTCAGTCACACCAACCCCCTGCATGTCCACCTTCACTACATCCACAAATCCTTTCTGTGGTTGTCTGAAAACATCATCCACGGAGACTCTTGCCTGATCTCATCTGTCAGCCTCTCCATCACCAGTGCAAACAAGAAGGGGCTCAGAGCCTCTCTCTGATGTAATCTCAACCCATCACATACTTCTCTGCCCCTCAGGACTTTCTTATGCAGCACCACAGTTACTCTCTTCGCACCTTATCATAGCCTTCACTCCTACACTCTAAAAAAAGATCTGCTGGCTTAACGTAAAAAAATTAAGGTAACAATTTGCATGGATCTTTTTAAGTTACTTCAGCTTAGCCACTATAGCGTAAATGCCACAAGAGTTCTCTAGTTAGGCAAACTCTATTCCTTACGTACAAACAACATGATTTGCTTTGTCCTCTACAAGCTTAATTAAGTTGAACCAACTTAATTTTAATTGTTTAAAAAATTACTCCATTTAGTTATTAAAACTTATTTTTTTACTTTTATTCTACTCAGAAATATCCATGCAAATTGTTACCTTAATTTTTTTGAGTACTAATAACTTACAATAACTTATAACTTACAATTATACAATAAATTACACATTGAAATTCCAGTTTTATGATCAAACTGTTTATTAGAACACCAGTCCACCATTCCAGACTCATTGACATTTCAATAGCAGACAAAATTGTTGCCTCCATAAAATAAATGACATAAAACACCCCTGTAAATCTGTCTCAAAAAGACATTTTGACAGTCATGCTCTGATTCAAGTTTGTTTGTGTTAAAGTGATAGTTTAGGTTTTTTTAAGTATGAAGTACATTGTGAGTGTATTACACACAGTAGACAGCAGTCAGCACATTCCTGCCACCAACACGCACGATAGGCTCAGTTTGTTTGTGTGACTTTGGTAAATCTGAACTAACCCGAACTAACACCAAAGTCACCAAATAACACAATTACACTTACTGATCAAGGCAGCAGGAGACCAGCAACTCCTGTGTGCTGTCAGGTAAAATTGCTGTTTTTGTCCATGGACGCTGGTGGGCCAGAGCGATTGAAACAACAAGCAGTAGAACTTCTCTTTCCTCACAGAAAAGGCTGTCTGATAGCAAAATAAAGCAGTAAACATATTCTTGATATAATGTACATTTAAACTGACATCAGTTTTATTAGGATGGAGGCTCATCTTGCGTGCCGGTGGCCCCGTCTGCTTCTCCGTAGGTGGAGCTTACTGACTGCCATCTACTGTGTGTATGTACCTCATATACAGCCTCACTTCAAAAGACCTGAGCTATCCTTTTAAAGTGCATTATTTTTAACTAGGTGTACTTAATGCTCAACACTCAACTTTACACCTACTGCCTACTGTACAGTATGTAACACAACACATTGCAAACAACAGTGGAACATTTCCCGTTTAATTTGAGGATAGCCTCACTCTTCACATTTTTTAGTACAACAGTTTACTTTTTAGTGACATTACCTTAGGACTGGCTTTCAGATCATCCAGCTCGAGGAATATCTTTTGAAACACTTCAAAAGTGTTTTTCAAAAGTGTTTTTCAGTTCTTTTGGGTAGCTGAGGTTGAGTGCATATATCAGCCCCATTAGCAAGGCACAGGCTCTGGGTACATCCAGGTCTGCTAGGACTTCTGTTCCTTCAAGTATGATCCTTGCGCTGGCTGGATCAGACGTTGTGGCACCTCTGGTTACAATCTTCATCACTTCATTGGTAATATCGCCGCCACCATCCTGGTAGATCAGAATCAATATAAATGTTTTAAGTAATCATACTTATACATGAGAGTAACACAAAATAGGGCTGCAACTAACAATTTTAGTTATCTGATTATGTCTGTGAAGGTTCTCTTTGCAAGCTCCTTTGACGATTATCTGATTAGTTGTTTGGTCCAGAAAATGTCAGAAAATGGTGAAAAATGTCAATGTTTCTCAGAGCCCAATATGATGACCTCAAATGTCAAACATATTCAGTTTGCTGTCATAGAGGAGTAAAGAAACCAGAAACGATTCACATTTATGAAGCTGAAACCAGAGAATTTGGACTTCTTTTTCTAAAATAATTACTTAAACCGATCAATCAATTATCAAAATAGTTGCCGATTAATTTAGAAATCAATTAATAATAGATTAGATCGTAGCTCTAATACAAAGTATAGTCATGTCTGATTTACCTGCTCTTTGAAGAGATCCTCCTCCTTTTCCCTGAGATACACCACTAAGCCACGGATAGCGACCTCTCGCCTTCTCTCCACAGAATCGTCCTGTGAATAAGAAAAAGAATGTCGAACTGCTCTTCGAGGAGGATGGGTTTTTGATAATTACATCCAAAAAAAAAAAAGAAAAAAGGATTGACTTTATATGGCCTGAACTGTACCAATTATAGATTTCCAGTGATAATCAAAATAATGAATTGATCATTTCAAAGAGCCATTTCTCTGAAATGATCAATTCATGAACTTGAAAAATCCAGGTAACAAATAGAAAAACTGCAAAATCTTGCAAATTACTCTGCCAATCATGATCCACATCACCTATAATTTGTTTTATTATTAAGTATTTATAGTTTTAATTGATATTTGTGCCTCAAGCTCTAAACAATAATTTGACATAGTTGAGTT